AAATAACACATTGATAGATTTGTTGATCTTCTGTATGGTTTTCACATCTCAATTTCCTTTAGTTCAGATCTGATTTTGGTTGTTTCTTGTATTCTGCTAGCTTTGGAGTTGGTTTTTTCTTACTTCTCTAATTCCTCTAGGTCTGATGTTAGGTTGTTAACTTGAGATCTGTCTAACTCCTTGATGTGGGTGTTTAGTGTAATAAACTTCCCTCTTAACACCACTTTAGCTGTGTGTGGGAGGTTCTGATATGTTGCATCTTTGCTCTCATTCATTTCAAAGAATTTCTTTATGTATAACTTAATTTCATTATTTACCCCAAATCATTCAGGAGCAGACTATTTAATTTCCATGTAATTGTATGGTTTCAGGTGATTTTTTAGTAAAGATTTATATTGTTACTGCACTGTGGTTGCTCAAAGAGTGTGGTTAGAATGATTTCTGTTTTTGTTTTTGTTTTTGTTCTTTTTAATTTGCTGAGGATTATTTTATGCTCAATTGTGTGGTCAATTTTAGAGTATGTCCTATGTGCCCTTGAGAAAATATATGTATTCTGTTGTTTGAGAGTGAAGAGTTCTGCAGATGTCTGCTGGGTCTATTTGGTCAAGTGTTGAGTTCAGGTCCTGAATATCATTGTTAGTTTTCTGACTCGATGATCTGTCTAATACTGTCAGTAGAGTATTGAAGTCTCCTAATCTTGTTTTGTGGTTATCTAATTTTCTTTGTAGGTCTCTAAGAACTTGCTTTATAAATCTGGATGCTCCTGTATTGGGTATGTATATATTTTGGCTAATTAGGTCTTCAACTGCATGGAGCCCTTTACCACTATGTAATGCCCTTCTTTGTCTTTCAAAAATTTCTTTTGGTTTAAAGTCTGTTTTGTCTGAAAATGGTATAGCAACCCTGGCTTTTTTCTGTTTCTTGTTTGCATGGTAGATTTTTCTCCATCCATTTACTTTGAGTCTAGTAGTGTCATTGCATGTCAGATGGGTCATTGCATATGAGAGAGGCATACCATTGGGTAATTCTTCTTTTTCCAACTTGCCACCATGTACCTTTTAATTGGGGCATTTACCCCATTTACATTCAAGGTTAGTATTGATATGTGTAGATTTGATCTTGTTATCATGTTTGTTAGCTGGTTACTATGCAGACTTGTTTGTATGCTTGCTTAATAGTATCACTGGTCTATGGACTTAAGTATGCCTTACATAGTAGGCAGTAATGGTCATTCCTTTTTGCATTTAACACTCTCTTTAGGATCTCTTGTAAGGCAGGTCTGGAGGAGGTAATAAATTCCCTTAGCTTTAGATGATCTGAAAATGATCTTATTTCTCCTTCACTTACGAAGCTTAGTTTGCCCGGACATGAAATTCTTGTTTAGAATTTCTTTGCTTTAAGAATGCTGTATATAGTGCCCCAAACTCCTCTGGTTTGTAGGATTTCTGCTGACAACACTGCTGTTAGCCTGATGAGGTTCCCTTTGTAAGTGATCTGCCTCTTCTCTCTAGCTGCCTTTAACATTTTTTCTTTCATTTCAACCTTGGAAAGTCTGAAGACTATGTGTCTTGGGGATGGTTATCTTGCGTAGTGTCTCACAGATGTTCTCCACATTTCCTGCATTTAAAGGTTGTCTTCTCTAGGGAGGTTGGGCACCTTTTCATGGATGATATGCTAAAATATGTTTTCCAAATTTCTTGCTTTTAATTAGTTATAAATTTGGTCTCTTTACAAAATACAATATTTCTCAGAGGGTTTGCTTATTCTTCTTCAATTTTTTTTTATTTTTAATATGTGTCTGTGTCTGACTAAGTTATTTCAGAGAATCAGTCTTTGAAATCTGAGATTTTTTTCCTTCAGCTTTGTCAGTTCTGCTATTAATACTTGTGATTGTATTCTGAAATTTTGAAATGAGTTTTTAGGCTCTATCAGATCAGTTTGCTTCTTTCTTAAAATGGCCATTTCATCTTTCAATTTTCTGTATCATTTTATTGTATAGAATCCTTGAAATGGGTTGTGACTTTTGCCTGAATCTCAATGATCTTGGTTCCTATCCATTTTCTGAGATCTATTTCTGTCATTTCAGATATTTCAACCTGGTTAAGAACCATTGCTGGGTAACTAGTATAGTTGTTTGGAGGTAAGAATAGATGCTGGCTTTTTAAGTTGCCAGAGTTCTTGCATTGGTTCTTTCTCATCTACTTGGGCTGGTATTCCTTTAATCTTTGAAGTTGCTATTCTTTGAATGGATTGTGTGTGTGTGTGTGTGTGTGTGTGTGTGTGTGTGTGTATTTTTTCCATGGCCTTGGGGGGTTGATTGTGGTATAAGGTAGGTGCAGTTGATTGGCTTCATTTCTGGAAGGTGTCAGGGTTCCAAGGTTCAGCTCAGCATTCCCCAGTTCTGGAATGCTAATATCAGGCCCCTGACTTTGTTCTTTCTGCCCTTGAGGTTAGAAACCTGCTGTGTTGGGGAACCTATGGTGTTCCTGGACTGCTGGCCACAACACTCCAGTAAGTGGCAGTGGCCACAATGTTCTGTTGGTGTGGTAGCAGTGGGATCTGTGCTCATTTGCACATGCTACAGCAGTGGCAGCAGGGCTGGGTGCATGCTTGTTGGCTGGGGTGAGGCACAGATAGGCACAGGATGCCAAACCCCATGACCCATTATTTTGTATGTGTTTTCTGCCCATTTTTTGCCTCTGCTCCTTCTAGAAAACCCGTAATGTATATCTTGGCTCAGTTGATTACTTACCAGTTTCCTTCAGCTTTATTTACTCTTTTTGTTTCTTTTTTGTTTTTGTTTCTCTGACCGGATAATTTGAAATGACTTGTCTCAAACATACTTTTTCTCCTGCTTGATCAAGTCTGTGGTTGAAATTCTCCAAGCAGTTCTTCAGCTCAGCCACTATTTTTTTAACTTTAAAAAAATTTCTTTCTTAACTTTCTAATTTTGTTCATATATTGTTATTATGATTTTATTTAGTTGTCTATCAGTATTCTCTTGTAGCTCACTGAATTTCTTTTAGACAATTGCCTTAAATTATTTGTTGAGCAGTTTGGAAAATCCTATTCCTTTAAGGTCAGTTACTGGTCCTCTACCTTGTTCTGTTGGTGATGTCATTTTGTCCTGATTATGTATGATACTTGTGATCATGTGTTCTTGGTGTTTGACTTTTTCAACAAGTTGTCACTTATTCCAGTCTTTATAGATTGGCTTTAGCAAATAAAGCCCTTCACCAGTCAGCTATTCAGAGATTCTGGGCAGGCCATCTCGCTTGGTCTTTGGGCAGGCTTGCTGCTGGCATCCTCAGAAAACCTGGGCCAATGAGGACCAACCTGGCATCAGGGTTCACTATTTCTGGTTCACCTATTGACTTGGTATACCCGGGTAGGCAGTCACTTCACGAGGGCAAGCCTGAAGCCTGTAATCACAGGAGCCAGACTAAAGCCTGGTCCCACGGAGACCAATCTGGCTCTAGGGAAGGCCTTGAAACCATGTCTTCATGGGTTAGCCAGACATCAGGATAGATGTGGCATCTGGGTGTCTAAGACAGTTCTGGAGTTTGAGTCTGTGCATACTGGGCTGGTACCTGGAACTATAAGGGCTGGCATGCAGCCAGGTTTAATGGGCGGGGGCTGGCCTGAAGCCTGGGACCATAAATGTCAACTTGCCTGTGGGGTAGACCTGGAGACTGGATCCATGGGGCTAAGGCTAGAGTCTGAGTTAGTGGGGGCTGGCCTGGTGCTAGGTCTACTGTAATAAGACTTGATCCTGGGTCTGCTGGAATATGGGGCCAGATTAGTACTGCATCCACAGAGGCTGGCCTGGAACTGGGAAGATCCCCCACAGCTTGCATCTGTGGGGGCTGGCCTAGTGATGGAGGCCACAGAGGCCAGTCGAGCAAGATGGCTTTGTGATTGGATAAACCTAAAGTCTTGAGGAGGGGTTGGGGTTTGACAGGACTAAATTCTGGGACTGTGAGAGCCAGTCTGGAGCTGGGGTCTGCAAGTGCTGGGCTGGAGTTGTGGCTATGGAGGTCATCCTGGTGCTGTGGTAGGTCTGAAGAACGGGTCCACATGGGCAGGTTTGACGTCTAAAATTTCAGGGCCCACCCTGGAGTCTGTGGCTGCAAGTGCTAACTTGTCCTTGAGGTGGGCTTAGAGTCTTTGTCAGTAAGTGCTGGCCTGTGGTCTGGAGCTATGGGGAAAAACATGAATCTGGGTGTGTCTGGAGCCTGTGTCTTCTGGGCAAGTCTGGATGCTGCAGTCGTGGTGGCTGATTGGGAGCCTGAGGCCACAGAACCTGGCCTGGCCTCAAGGCATGCTGAAGTCCAAGTCCAAGGGTACCCGCCTGGAGTCAGAGGCCACGGTATCTAACTGGGGCAAACCTAGTGTTTGAGTCCAAATGCTTACTTCACTCTCTTTCCCCAAGTTGAGAGAATGTCTCTACACATTGTGCTTACTGAGATGAGGGAGGGGTGATGTGAATCATGTGAAAGTGTTCTTTTTACCCTCTTCAATGCTTCTTTTCTTATTTTTTGCAACATGCAGATGCTTTAATCACTCACTTGGATTTATTAGCTCTTGTGAAGGTATTTCCATTTTAATGGATAGTAGTTCAAATGAATATTTCTGTGAAAGTTCGAGAGCTGGAAAGTCCTATCTACCATCCTGCTGATGTCATTCTCTGAGAAGTGCTATTCTAAACACCACCAGAGCCTCCTAAAGCTTGTCATGTCACATTATCAGGCTTGGGTTGTGGAAATGGGCGGGCAGTAGGTACATGGGGGAGAAATGTCCTCATCTCCCCACAACACAAATCCTACATGAGCAAGACCCACGCCCTCATCATAACACACAGGTAGGGATGCACATTTCATCATTTTCCCTAGAGGCCTGGGTAAAGTAGGGAAGAACCAAGACCCACAAAATTTCCTCCCCCTGAACACTTTGTCCTTCTCAGGGTATGGCTATGACATTGGTACATACAAGACAGCAAGTGCAGACTAAATATTTTATTTTTGCTCTCTAAAACCTTAGGCCATATGACCAAATGAAGAGACTGAAATGAAAGTGGGAAGGAAGAAACAGAAGGAAGATAAGAATCATGTGGTCATATCTGGGGGAGAATTAAGTGAATATTCTCTTCCAGGGTGCCTTCACACTGGCTTCATGTCCGTGATGAGTTCCACACCAAACGCAGGCTGCTGACTTCGCTCCTGCCCTAGTTAGTGAACTTGCAGACGTAGGGTAACCTCGCATTACAGTTATAAGCTTTCCACTTCAGAAATGCTGGAGAGACAGAAGACATAAATGGAATGGGACTGAGGAAGCTGGTGAACCCCATGAAGAGGCATCCTAGGTGTGAGCCTAGAAGTTAAAGCCTTTCCCTCACCTTAATCAGTGTCCCAATCCAGGAGAGAGATTCAAAGAAAGTAGAGAAGAGAGGAGATGAGAAAAGACACACTAGCATTGTATTTTCTAGCTCAGGAAGATTTCCTGAAAGCCAGTCCCAGGAATGGGGGATGAGATGGAAAACACTGGGAAGAGGCCATTGCTCTGTTTCTTACCCGTGTTTCTTGGCAGGCTCGCACAGTGGCCAGGGTTTGAGGCGGAGGAGGGATTTTTCGCCCATGCAAGGTAATTCATCACATCACTGCTACTCCACTCCCATCCATTTCTATCGGGCTCGGTGCCCTATAGAGTAGAGGAGGCAGCCAGATGAAGGGAATGGCCATTGCAGCTCTTCTACCATGGCCCCTCAGCCACAACACCTGATTTGTGCCCCAGCATGAGGGAATTTGGTCTGCTATTCCAGATGCTGCTGGCGAGCTCTTCACTAGCAACTTCTTTCTTAAATCGTCATTGCTATTGGAAATTCCCAGCCAATAAACACATGACCTTTGGAACCACTCAAGGTAATATGTTATTTGCAGAACAATAATTGGTGTAGCATTTGTGATTAGCCTGTGAACCTCAAGGTAAAGGCAATTCTGTATGGGGGCAAAAATTTAACCTATCTTCATCAAAGATTTCTTGAGAATAGTAGGCAAAGACCCCATGAAGCTTAGAGGATGGATTAGCCCAGTCTCATATGAGAATTAGATCATATGTCTGAAGGAGGCAGACGGATTTCATCCAAAAGATAGAGACCTCCACATATCTCAGATCTTCAGCTGTCTCACAGACTTTCTTTTTCCCCAAATGTTCCCCAGAATCTGAGCTCCAGTGCTCTCTGAAGTACTTCCTAGGCAGGCACAGGGGATAGGGATTAGGCCTGAGAGGTAACAGAGAGGAGAGGATATACTCGCACCTGTGTGGGATCATAGAGCCCAATCCAGACGTAAAAGTAGCTGTGACTAACGCTCTTGACCAGGGAGGACACGAATGATCCCTCCGCCTCGCTGAGCACAGACACCAGGTTTCCAGAGGGCCGCTTCTGACAAGCCAGCTTTGAAGGAGAGACAGAGAATGAGAGAGAGCTTCAGACCTGCTGGGGGATGGCAGGGCAAATGTAGGTGGGAGGACGACTGTGTGAAAGATAAGTGTGTTCCTCCTCATTCCCAAGGAACTTTCCTGAATGGAGACCCTCCTCCCCATGAAACCTGCATGGACTTTCCCCTGTCACCTCCATTCCCACATCTAACCACTCACATCTGCATCTATCCAGGATTTTGGTGACGTAAACAAGGCATAGCAGTGGGAGCCATAGGCCTTGGAGCCTTTAGGACAGCTGATCCGCGGTAAGGGCAGTTCCTGCTGGGGATCCTCACCTGTGGTGGAAGAAGAGGGATAGGGTAAAATGAAGAGTGGGGATTGGGCTGGGAGAGCACCTCGGGGAATACCTAGGCCTGTCCTGGGGGGGGAAGACCACATTCCTGACTCCCCTTCATCTTTCCTCATGTTTTCAGAAGTTCTTTATCTCAAAGTAACCCTATAAATGGGGCGCCGTCTAGTCTCTTATTATCCTTTCCCCTTATTCAACCATTTAACACTCTCTTCACTCTGGGCTGTCTCTACATTGGGTCCTCCAATTATTGTCCCTCCCCGCATCTCATTACTGACCCTCCACACTTTCCCACCGATGTATATTAGAGTGCACTGACTAAATGGAAGCCATCTCATTCCATTGTTAGTGGACCACCGTGGAGCCTCCTTCTGCAAGTTAACCTGAAGGAAGGAGTGATGATGCAGGAACTGCAGGCAGGCTCATTAGACACCACACCATCACCTCACGTGACAGGCAGGAGCCTTCCACCTCTTTTTGGCTCTGAGCCTTCACAGGGAACCCACTGCTAGAGGCAGGGGAATCTCACCTTGGACCTGAGACAGGAGCATGAGGCAGGAGAGCAGCATCCAGGACACGCTGGGCAGGGCCATGGGAGGCAGCATAGTATCTGTGACTTGTGGAGGCAGTCCGGGGTCACTAAAGGAAGCATGGTCAGTGAGAGGACACACAGATAACCTATTGCTTCATGACTCTTTCCTTCTCTAGTCTCCCAGGACTAAAGTCATCTTGGGTACATCCAACATCTTCTACAGCTCTGAGTGAGTTATGAGTCTGTGTATTCTCCCATCCCCGAGCCCTCCCAGGCCAGCCTTGCTGAGTCTCAAAGCTCCTGTGCTCTCTAAGGAAAGGACTCTTCCAGGGGTTCTCCTGTATCATGTGAGGTTGCCCCTCCCTGGGTCTCACCTTCTTTCATCTCTGCCTTACCTCTCTGGTGGGATCTGGTATGGTTTGTCTGGTCAGGAATGACTGGGTTTTATAAGAGGACCTGGGGGAGGGACACTGGAGTTAATAGTAACAATGAGTAGACAGGACATGGGTCATAGGGTGGCTTGGCGTGGGGAGGAGATTCTTCCTGGCAAAGACTGGGAATTTCCCAAGATGTTGCCTCTTCCCTATTGGCAGGTCAACTATTTCCCCAGGAAGAGGTGAAGTTTGCTCTTTCCTCTGCATCTTCCTTGTCAAAGGCCTGTGGCACCAAATGTGGCATGAAATCTTCTAACGTGGACATCTGAAAGAGGAGTTCCTCTGGTGATTTCTCATGAACTCACTTATGGAGGCAAACCTATATATTTCTTATTACCTTGTATAGTAATATTAAATCTTTTTTGTGTTAAGTGGAGGTGTGTATAGGAATTATGAGCATCATAGACAGTTAAGAGCATAGATGGACCTGAAGCTAAGAGTAGGAGTGAGGGTTCGGGACCACTATGTAAGCACAGTAGCTACTTTTGATGAAACTTTAGAATTATCTGACAAGTCAATAGATGAGCCAAAATCTTACAGAAAATCAGGTGAATAGATTGTCTTTCCAGTCTTCAGCAAGAAAGAGCTTCCCCAGTGGTGAATGACAATAACAATGTGATAGAATAAGAGGTGACAAAGAAACACAAGGCACAAGAAGGACTATAGTCAAATAATGCGGATCAAAGAAGGACAAATAGTGATTAAAGAAGAGAAGAGCAGGCATTGCATAAAACCATAGCTCAGTTGGACAGGCACAGTGGCTCATGTTTATAATCCCAGCACTTTGAGGGGCTGAGGTGAGAGGATCACCTGAGCCAAGGAGTTCAAGACCATCCTGGGCAACATAGTGAGACCCTATCTCTACAATTTATATTTTAATGGAAGCCAGTTGTGATGGTGTGTGCCTGTGGTCCTAGCTACTCAGCTGACTGAGGCAGAAGGACCTTCAGTTGAGCCCAGGAGTTCAAGGCTGCAGTAAGTTATGATCGTCTCTCTGCACTCCAGATTAGGCAACAGAGTAAGACTCTATCTCTAAATTTTGTCTTATGATGTAAACATAATCCTGAATTGCATGTAAGTCTCTACTACATTAAAATGTTCACCACTTGTAGGTTGCTCATGAGCTCCCTTGCTGAACTGCCATTTGGCTATAAATTAAAAGCCCTTTTCATTACATTCTTACTGGGAAAATGGCCAGCTTCATATGGGTATATTGAGAAAAGTTCTTTTAGTCTAGTTTATTTTTCAGCTGGCAGTTTGGTGCATCTGACAAGCATAGTACCTTGTTTATACATGGGTTCAGGTTCCGTTTGGCCAGTCCAGGAAAAAAATTAGGCTAGTAATTACTATAGAACCTGACTCTCATGCTATTGTTGTAGTATGCCAGCTTGTATGTAGATGTTTATAGTAGGGATCTGTGATGAGGTCTTGAAATGTAGCTCATCATTAATTCATGTACCCAAAATTCAATGCAGTTCCTCAAATAACATGAGAAGAAATATAGCCAGCAGATTATTTTGTGAAAAGGGGTTATTTTTTTCCCACAAAATTTATTCAACAATATGTAAACACATGGAGGCAAAGGGCAGAAAGTAACCAGAGGGTAGAATAGTTACCAGAGGCTGAGGATGAGGGGAGATGAAGAGAGTTTGGTTCATCATACATACAATTAGATAGAAGGAATATGTTCTAGCTTTTGCTAGCATATACTATGACTACAGTTCACAACAATATGTTGTATGTTTCAACATAAGTAGGAAAGAAGATTTGAAATGTTCCCAATACCAAAAAATTATAATGTGAAGTTGATGGAGATCCTAAATACCCTGATTTAATCATTGCATAATATATACATGTGTCAACATATCACATGTACCTTATAAATATGTATATTATTATATATCAAGAAAATTTTTAATGAACATGTAAACACAAAGCCATTACTTTAACAAGAGCTCAGTGGAAACTTTTAAGTTCAAAAAATAATATATCATACACATTTAATAGTTAAGATGATTTGGAAAATATTCTCATTAGATTAGAAAGTTATTTGGGAAGAAGTTAATAATAGCAATCACAAATTCAGAATGGAATGTGTCTTGAACTTTTGAAAAACTCAGTATCACAGAGGAAAACATGATTTTAGAGTAAAATAATCCAGAGACACAGAAACCAAATCTAGTGAGTAAACTTTAATTGGATCTTGATAAATAAAGTCATTCATATGGGTGTCAACTGGAAAAATATGAAATTAAACTGCTATTTGATTATGCCAGAATTTTAATTTTCTTTCTTCTAGTAATGTTATTATGATTAAGTAGAGAATTTCTTTATGCTTTTGATATTTACAATGAGTTTTTTTCAGATAAAATATCAAGATGTCTGTAAATTTCAAATTATTCATGGAAAGGTGTGTGCGTGTTTGTGTGTGTGTTTGGAGAAAGAGAGAGGGATGAGTTGGAGAAAGATAAATAAAGCATATATTATACAATGATAACACTTAACTGAATCCATGTGGAAGATACTAGTGTGTTTATGCTTGCTTTCTACTTTGCTGTGTGTTTACAATTTGCTGAACAGAAAATTATAATTTAACTTACATGTTTCCATTTAACGATAACATACATGTAGTTTTCCCATTACCATAAGCTAGAAATAGCACAATAGAGCAGTATTTATTATGTAGAATCATATATACATATATACATTAAAAATGCATTTTATATATCCAAATAACATATTTAAGTATTACAAATAAATAATAAAATATCTGTTATGTTTCACTTTGGGCCACCTGATGTATGGCTGGGTAAACAAATAAAAACAAGACAACACAATGGGGTAATCAATAATCTGTGTCCAGTCAGAAAAAAAATATGTCCTCAGAATTAAGAAAAGTGATCAGGTCATCAGACTTGACTTTTCAAAGCAGAGCTTAAATGGGTTGAGGCTGGACAGCCTTTGAGTTCTTCATTTATCTGTAAGGTGGTCAGCTTCAGGCCCTTAAAAAGCCTGGGATCTGCAAAGACAGAGATGAGCTATGGGTGGTTCTTCGTAACTCCTCTTACCTTTTTCAAGCTGTGCTTTGTTTAACATATCATCAAATCTGCCCCATTACCAGGTATGAGACAGTGAAGTTCAGGTCCTTCCAGGAAAGTTTATTATTAAAACTCACTTTTCTTTTGTTCTTAACTGAAATAATGTGGCATTTTTAATAAGGCTTAAGGTTCTAATATCCCTAACTGCAATGTGAAACTTTTGTTTGCTACGACACTCACTGAACTCACTAAAGTTGAGTTGTTTTTATTTGTCAATATTCTTCATAACAATGGTTATTAACCAGACACTAAGAAGTTTGTTTACATATTATATTTATTAAGCTGGTTTTGAGTTATATAAAATCTAGTTCTTGGTGATGAGAGAGGAAACTTTACTCTTGATGTAACTGAGGCTGAGTTTTAAGGAGCTTCCTTTGCCAAAAGATAAGATGTCCAATTTGTGCTTTTATCCCTATTCTCTTCTGAATCAAATATTTGCAGATAAGACTTAGTAGTCATTCTTAGAATTATACAAGGAGAAAATGATCTCTTTGTAGGAGTCTAGTATATTTGTTCCAATGATGGTAAAATGTAAGGATTTCCTGGAAGATGGCTCAGCAGGGCCGAAGTCAAAAAAAGCTTTGAACTGTATCTCACTGAAGATTTATCACTAAAGTGTACCACTTTGAGATATATTAACCAGATGTCCAGAATGCCACTTCAGTTCTTTCATCTTATCCAAAGCCTGTCAGAGGAAATGGAAAAGGGATAAAATGAGGTGTTGTGCATCTATAAAATAGGATAAAAGGACAAACCTTTGAGGTCCCTGAGGTTGATAAGGGAAGTTATTAACATCAAAGAATTGAAAGCTGATAACATAGCTACTGAAATATGGTCAATTATATGTAAGCAATGAATAGTAACTATCATATGACTGGTACAGATATTGGAAGCAATAATTTTTATCAGAAAACTGTGTTAATTTTTATTTGGTTTCAAATTTTCACATTGATCTTGGAAGAGTTCCCAGTTCATATCATGTTTGCTTTTCTAACGTTATCTATTTGGGTATTTTATAAAGGCTAGTGCTTATTATTTATTTTTATTTTAGAATAATGTAGTCATAATACAAAATATTCATTTGGAAAAAAATAAGATATTTTCAATTAATTATCATAAATTATACTTAAACAGCTTGTGGGTGATAACTTTGCAGATTTGAACTGTTCAAAATGTGTCAGAGTTCACATTTCTCATGGTAGCAAATAAAAATAAAAATAAGAAATAATTCCATAGTCATGTTGCTTTTCTTTTTTATAATAAATTATTTTTATCATAGAGAAAACGTGACAAACAGATATAGGCTGACAATCTAGAATCTACAGTGATAGTATCTTGCCATCTTTTTTAGCTGTATTATTTAGAGAAATGAAGCAAAAATAATTAACAAAGGAATAATACAATAATATTAAAATAAATTAAGTGATAAGAAAATAATGCAATAGTAGTCCACTTATACTATTCCTCAGTCCTACTTATTTCTATGCTTCTCCATTACCAATTTTTGATTATTTTCCAATTTATGTTTTTAATCATTTACTTCATATAGAGGTATCAACAAGTTATATGTAGTATGATTTTCTTCTATATTTATATATTTACATACATGTATCATTTACATTCTCTGTAACATTCTGGAATATTAGTTCATTCGATCTTAGGTTTTAAAATGTATCTACATTGAGATAAATATTTATAATTTATTGATTTTTACTACAATGCAATGTTGGTTGATCTAAGTATTTTTTTAAAAAACTATGTATGCATTCCTCTACTGAGGGAAATGTATATTTTGTTGACTTCAGGATATGCAATGTGCCACATTTTGCAGTCTCTGGAATCTGAATTCAGTGCTAACAATGACAAACATATTCTCTATCTTCACTTTGTAAAACAAAGGTCAGCGAACTTCTATAAAGAGCCAGATAATAA